GTTTTAAAATGTTTAAACAGCGAAAGACTATCGTATCAATGATTTTTTTCAAAATTCAGTAATTTTTCTTTTAATTTTATCATTCTAAACCACTGGTTTGAAAGTTAAAATGATTTTTCAAAAAGTTATCGGCTTATTTCAATCAGTGTTTTTGAGAAAGTCGCTAATTGAAAATATTATTCCAGTTTACCATTTTTGGTAACCGCTGTGGGCATTAGTGGTGATACTGGTATAATATTTGTTCAGATAACTAGGTGAAAAATGTTCTATTTTTTCTGGTTTCGGTGAAATTGAAATGATTTTTTGGTTTCCACTGTTTCAAATGTTTTTTGTTGCATTGTTGACGATGTTTTGTTTTAATGTTTAATTGAAGAACAAAAAAATTATAGCACAATTTTCAATTACCGCAGCAATGTTTTGATGATTGGTGGCTTTTGAGAGGTTAAAAATTTATGACTATGTTAGGTGTCATTCTTTTGAAGATGTATATAAAAATTTTCCCCTTTTACTTTCTCATTTTTGTTTTCTGGCTCTTATAATTTATCGAGAATATTTATTTCTTGGATTTAAAATGCACACTGCTCCGTTGGTCAGGTGAAAAATAGACCTACTTCTTTTCAAAAATTCCTTTTTATGACAACTTGAATCTTTTTTTGATTGAACAAAGAAAATTGTGTGTAAGTATTGCCACCACTGATACTGTTGCGGCTACGAATTACAGTGACGAAAATGGCGAAAAACGCTGTTTGGACTCAAATTAAGGTAGAATGACACTTATATAATTAAAAAGTCTTCTAAAAAGTTTAACCAAACTTTGGTAGGAAACCGAAATTGGGTCATCGTCTGCTGTTGCTCGCTAAAAGTCAGTTTAGAAAACCGGTAGCTAGAAGGAATTTTTTTGATTTGAAGCAACTTTTGAAAAATATCGACAGAACTGATGCTCATAAATAATTTATTGAAACTGTTGTCATTGCTTCCGCTTAATTTATCAGTCTTGTTGATTCCTATTCATTGCGAATGCTTCAAATCTTTACCTCATTGATGACTGTTGAAAAGTTTCTACTCTAAGATATAGTGTTTCATATCAACTGATGTGCGCAATTTAACTTTTAGTAGAAAAAAAAGTTTGCCTTGGTGAAGTAATAGGACTCTTAGACGGACGTCTGTATGTTTTCATTACGAGGTAGGAAATTAAAAGCAAGTGTTTACTGAATCCTAGAGAATTTGAGCTTCTTGGATTTGCCAAAAACAAATGTCTATTCATATGATACATTGACACGGTTCTGTATCCGTAATAATAGTTTTTTTCACTTTCTGGAAGCCTGTGATATTTGTTGTCCGGGAAAGATTCTGAAAAACAGTCGTTACTCTAATAGCTGCAAATTTTTGATGAGATGTTGGTTTTCTTTTAACGTTTGGTTCGTCTTTACTGTTTTTGAAAGGTTACCATTGTACTTGAAATTACTTGAAATAGTCTATTTCTATTAGCAAAAAAAGATAGTGGACAGGGACGACAGAGGTTTTGAACTTGGTTTTCAACAAGGAACTGCGAATGTTACGTTGACTATTGCACGTTGGGTGTTTGTTTCTTGAAATATTCATATGCTTAATTAATCTTTATTGGAAATTCTGTTTTTTTTTTTT